AAATCTCGAAGGACTGCATTCATGTCTCTTTTTTGGTGGAAACATTTGCATGTTCACGGACCAATGCTGCCAGCAATCTTCGTCGACTTGCGCGTGAAATCACGTTTTCACTATGGTGCCCACCAAGCAACGAGACGAATCATCAACACCACCTGTCCTCTTTGATGCCTCTCCGCATGCCCACTGGACTCGACCGAAGAGAAGCCACCCTCCTTCATAGCTTATGGCTAGGAGTGGCATTTACGAAATCCTATTCCTTTGTCATAGGAATGGCGGACAACGCTCTCTGCGATGCCTGTCGTTGCGAAGAGACGCTACACCACATCCTGTGCGACTGTCCGTTGTATGACATCCAGAGACAGTCACTGGCGTCCGCTCTTGCGCGCATCGACAACAGCCAAATGTATGTGGACAGTATTCTTTCAAGTGGACGAGAGAAGACATCGCAACAGAAGGCGAGAAAAGCTCTGTTGAAATTCCTACGCGACACGGACTTGAACAAGCGGCTGTAACAGCAGTGTCACACACCGCGAAAGACAAGACTGCATTATGACTGAGTGTGCACGCGTGTGCTGCCTAATGAGCTGTGTTTATCTCTCTTCCCTCTCTCCTATCTATCTTTCGTCTCCCCCTCCCGTGCGCAGGGTAGCAAACCAGCTGCATATAGGCTGGTTAACCTTCCCGCCGTTCTGCTCCTCCTATTTTTCTTCCTTTGCATGTTCGCGGCACTAGATGTCGCTTGGTCCGCAAGTGCCGTCGTGTTTAGGCCACCCGAAAAACATGGCGCGTGCGGCATGCCTCCTTGAGGCTGGCGCGCATGTTCAGACTATCTACCCGGAAAAGGCTTATTTCAGTAAAGTTCCTGACTTTATCAACCCAAGCGTAACATTTTAAGAAGTATCGACGATGTTTTCATTCAAAGTATTCAAAGGTGTTTACGTTAGCAGTGAGAAAGTACCTGTATTAAGAACAGAAACCACCAATCACTACTTTCCTGTGAGAATGATGGGCGCGCCGCAGTGCTGGGTTGGAGCTTATCTTGATTCATATGCTGTTAATGACTATATATGATCGGATGCCCAGATAAATCCCATCTATAATGTGTATATTTCAATTTATTCCTTGCTTTTCTGCATAGCTCAAGATTGACCAAACAATCAACGCAGAGGTTACGCATCGATGTTTGCTAATATGCCCAATTGATTGCATCTCATGAAAAAAAAAACTATGCAATCTTTGACACCCGTAATGGTGAAATAAGTGAGCCGGCGTCATAACCCCGTTTAGATTTAGTCAAGTAACCCATCGAACTGTCGTTCACATAAAGGGTAAGACACACTTATCCTGGTTGTAGGTTTCTGAATAGCGTTAGGCAAAAGTTGCTTGCCTTTTCGAAGAGAGTAAGCTGAATATTAAATGCGGGCGTTAAAATAGTAGACAGCAATGTTTATCGTGGTTACCGAACCCTTTTAGAGCTTTTCTTGGCCTGGCTATATCTATAGTGTGCAGGCCGCCGCAGATACAAGCAAAACAATTGGATAGAAACTTGGGAAGTGCCCCTGAGCTCCAAATGCGCCCCTGTGTAATCCTATTCCGACAAACTCTCGGTGCACTTTCTCGGCAGACGCGCTGGACGCTTCTTACGGATGTCTCAGATGTTTATTTCATGAGATGCTTTTTCACACAGGCTCCGTGTTGGCACGTGTAGCCGATCAGGGGCATTGAACGATGATCCTATAGAAGCAAGTAGTACGACGAAACGCCACTTGTGTCATTCTGTTGATGTAAGGAGTAAAGTTATTGTACACGCTACATTTTAAAGGTAGCATATACAGTAACTCCAGTAAGGAGTAGAGTTGATTTGATTTGTGGGGTTTAACGTCCCAAAACCGCCATATGAATATGACAGACGCCGTAGTGCAGGGCTCCGGAAATTTCGACCACCTGGGGTTCTTTAACGTGCACCCAAACCTGAGTACACGGGCCTGCAACATTTCCGCCTCCATCGGATATGCAGCCTCCACAGCTGGGATTTGGTCCCGCGACCTACGGGTCAGAAGCCGAGTACCTTAGCCACTAGACCACCGGGGCAGGGCAGCAAGGAGTAGAGTTATTGTATATGGCTAGGGTTATTGTATATGGAATAAAACTCATTTTACTGATTTTAAAACATGAGTACTAACGTTAATATACTTTGCCTTGCATGCCTGCCTGCCTGCCTGCGCCGGACAGCAATAAAACTGGACGCACGTCGTGTTGACTCAACTGCTTCCAAACTTTCCTACTATTTTCCTCCGCCATCTGATAGAAACTCACAACTTGCTATTACTGTAACATTTCTATAGCATAGACTCCCCCTTAAACAACCAATTAAACAGTATGCAGGGAAACGAACCCATGTTCTCGAGCTTAGCAGCGAGTCAGCCCCCGTGTTATGCTATATTTAGACCAGGGCGCGTCAGCCAGTATGAAGTAGGCCAAGAGTAGGTTCTTCTTAGACTACTTCTTTCTGTGAAAAGTCAAACTAAATAATAAAGAAAGTCATGTTGTACAATTCTGTAGAAACGTACAGGATGGTTTTATTATGGCGTTTACCGTACGCGAAAAACAAACATTTTCTTTCATGCCTTTTGAACCATGGAAGGAGCAGTATCTGTCTCACGCAAGTTCACCATAGAAAGCTAGGCAAACACAGAAAGGAAAAAAAAATGTTAGAGCTCAAGCACAATCACTCTGAAATTTGTGGTACGTATTATGCGATGGAGCAACACCGGCGCCTTTTTTTTTCGCCTATATAACTTTACCGCCGTATGCAACAAAATATGCTTTGAAGTCTGTTCGCGTTTTTGCTTTCGATGGGAGTGAGTCGGCTGTCGGCGAACAAGCAGTTGGAAACTATACATCCTGCTCGAGGTCACTGAGACGGGCTGGAAAATAATTTTAACGAGCTGGAGTCTCACAAAGGACGCCGCAGCGCAGGAGAAAGAACTGGCAGATATACAGAGAACAGAACTTTATACCTAATGTCCTCACTGTCTGCGCTTTGGAGATCCACGTATCGCTAGAAAAAGAAAGGTCTATGAAATGAAGAACCATAAGAAAGATGGGCAACAGAGAAAGTCCTTAGACCAGTTGCTCCCCTTTGACATTTCAACGGCATTGTGTTGTGCAAACTTCGTGACGAGGCATTTTCACAACGGTACAATGACCAGAGTTAAAAAAAGAAAACAAAAACGGTCGCACAAAGATTGGACCTTCTGTCTTCATAGTCTCGCAAAAGACAAGAGTTAAAACTAAGTACTGGAACTGATGAAAAAAGCAAGAAAGTGTAACAACAAAGCATTCCTAAAAACCTTGTTTTCCTCTCCCCCGCCCCCCTCCTTTACACAATTTTTTGAGTGGACGTGGTTTGTTACAAAACCCATGGCTGGTCATGCTCGACGGGGGGATAAGCAAAAAGTCGAGAACGTCGCAGTCACACTACAATGTGACGTAAACGACTGCCGTTGGCAGCAAAAGAAACAGTCAGAACACGGCGAACTATAATAGCCCGTGGGGACCAACGACGAAGCCATTGTCCAACTCTGGTGATTTTGTCGCAGCTGTTTAGGTTTCGTGTTCTAGCGACGAGAGCTCTTGATAAGCGGCGCTACGTGGCTAAGCAGGTTGCCATGGGGGGCGGAATCAATAACTTCTCTTGAACTTAAAATTAGTTTAGAAGTTGATGAAGCCGATCTATTGAGATATCGTAAAGTAAATAGTTTTTTTACAATCTGCTGTCAATCAATCAATCAATCAATCAATCAATCAACAGGTAATGTTCATGCCAAAGTTCGGGGTTGGAAAGAAATTTTAAACCCCAAACTTTCACCGATGCTTATCTTGTAGAACTGCACATTTCTCGTACTAACAGCGTATCGTTAAATGCAGTTCTTATTAGCAAACTAAAATGCAACCAAAGTGAATTTCACGAAATTAGCATCATGTTTATGAAGCACAAAATGGAGGCGAAGAAGGTGACTTCGTATTTAAGGAGAACGTATACGTGTAAGGAAAAGCAACCACCAGGGCTCATCTGTTACGACATGGATGACTCTGCAAAACTGAATAAGGTGTTTACACGTGTACTCCAGAAACTCATGCGCTTGTATTTTATTCAGCAAAACTGAAAACAAGAAGAGCTAAGAGCATTTTATTGCTCCAGTCGTGCGCATATGTTCTTTTCCGGTTGTGTCCCTGGCGCTAAGTCTACTGTTGACACTGAACGAGCATCACTTTACGCTTCATCGGAGTCCTCTGGACCGTGAACATCACGTGAGATCGATGAAATATGGTCAGACAGATTTTCCAAGGTGATTGTTTTCATACGCATATATTAGCACGACTGAAAATTCCAGCACTCTACATTTTGCAGTGTGGTACATTCTTCTACACCGTGCTGCAGCTTGCCTAACCTTCTGGAATGTCTGGTAAATCTAATCTTTATTGACGTGTGCATACTTGAACCGCGTGCTGTCGACTGCTTTCTTTTCTTTGATTCGTATCTCTATCACACGGCCTCATTTGCATTCCTGTTTGGCGCCCCGTTTTTCCTTCGAAATACACGTCAATATGAGATTTCAGGTTCTTGCTACCTCTGCGCAGAATGGTAATACTGATGGCACTTTGTTATAGATTGTTTCAGAGCCCGTTCTTTCTCCGCTCTTGCAGCTCATTACGCTTAAATGCGGTATAGGCGTCCAGCCGCTATATGGGCACTCGCGTTCCGATAACGCTTATGCGCGTGGAGGCACACTGAGCTCGCCAAGATTGATGCCTCGTTGCCAGACTGTCCTTCAGATTCTATGGCATCGCGTATCTTTCGCGTCCAAGTAGGGCCAATTTGTTTTTTTTTTTTTATCTTATGATGACCGATGTTTTTTAACCAGAGTGCCAAGCCCTTCCCTTCCACCCGTAGTGAAACTAGGAGCGTAGAGTATGGTTACTGCACGTGCACTCACGTTCACATTCTTCCGTCATGCTAATAAAGACGGCCTCTTGTTGGTCGCTATTTGTCCGTGATGCACCTGTTAAAAAAACATAAAAGGAATGAGTGGTGACAAAGGTGTGTGTAAGCGATTGCAGTTAGAGAGAGAGAGATAACTTGCGTTCCGCAATATATGATGTTTACACGTCAGAAAATATCGAGAGCCTGGTGTTCGGAGCAGATACGGCGAGCCCTTTAAATACGCGGCTGGACAGATTCTGCCACGAAGAAATATGTCGCGTTTCAGACGTACACATACACAAGTGAGGGAGACGGAAGCAATGCAAGGAGGAGAAGGGTAGAGGAAGAGGCCCTGTTAACTGCGTTACGATCGCAATCCCTGTTAACGGTGCCTGTACAATATCTGTCAGGGTGTCAGGGTGGCTCAACGAGTGTGGAAAGGCCAATCAATAACAGATACTACGGAGACAAACGGCGAGAATATGGATTACACGCAACAAGAAAACCCGCTGCGCTTCTGTCTCCCAGTCTCCATTCACTCGAATAGTTGATCAGAGGAGGAGGAATGCTAGAGCCTCATCTACGTAGACCTAGGTGCACATTAGAGAACTCCAGGTGGCTGAGATTTCTGGAGCCCACTACTATACGGCGTCCCTCGTAATCCTATCGTAGTTTTCTAACTATTACTGTTAAAAAACCTCTAACAACTACAGTTGCAGAAGTAAACCAACTCGCACTGCGATGCAGTGTGAGTTAGTTCACTATCACAACAGTTGCACAATTTTCCACATCTTTTAACCGCGAGTCTGTTTATCAAATCGTTGGTTTTTTTTTTGTTAGTCAACCCATAAAACTGTCATCATCAGCGGGTATGTACCATCAAAATTGGATGAATACCACTACACACCGCTGGTGTGCATTAAATATGAAGAATGCAACATGCGGTTAGCCCAACAAATAGCTGTGCAAGGACGACGGTGAGCCGAAGACCCCGAACAGGTACAACGAGGTAATATATTGCAACTGCGGCTCTGAGAAGGCCCCAAAGCGATGGAGGGCCTACGCCAACGACGACGCACCTATGGGGGGTGCTAACGCTTGGTTTCAGCCCGAGTTTCGGTATCTAGAGTTTGTACATGCGTGTCACATCTGTCTGTGATGTATGTGATGCAACTCGAACCTCTCTGGCCGATTTAGCCTGTAGTGTGCGACGATTTCGTGTTGTGTGCGCGTATCTTCACTCCTTTGTTCGGTAACTTGGGAGGTTGCAGGGATCCACCGGTAGAATCCCGGGAGGCCCTGCTCTGCAGCCCAGTCCGCAACGTCAAGCGCGGCATAATCAGTCAAGCCCTTGCTGCTGCCGTGTCCCAAGGGATTCCGGCCGACAGCTAGGGGTGACGGGCCACGCCCGAAGTAATTGACTGACTTTTGATAACTTTTCTCCCGAACCTCTCTGCGCCGAGAATCTACTAAGAAACAACCCAGCATGAACTAGCTAAGGCCTATTAACAACTAAAAAGCCACCTGATTAGTCTTCACAATCACCTCGTTTTCACTGTTTCAAGTTATGCGGTGAAAGATTCGCCACTTTTTGCTTCGTATTTTGCCGCACAACCCTGTGCAACTAAAAAACAACAACGATTTGCATTGTGCTTTACAATAGCGATGTGTAAGACTGAAGTGAGAACAACCGACGCTGCGCAGTGGAAAAGGCGCTCTTTTGTTTTTTACCAAATTTAGCTTGATATATCATGTTATAGTTTCGTTTTCTTCAGACACACATAGTTGGCACTAGACGTTTAGAGATAGTCCACCGCGGTGCTGTATCGGTCGGGGCCCTCGTCCACTCACACGAAGTTTGCGGGTTAGATCCTGGTGGCGGCCATCGCTTTTGGATGGAGACGAAATGGTACCCTCCCGTGTTCCGTGCGATCGATGTAAGTGCACGTCAAAGATCACCAGGTGGTCGAAATTGCCGGGGCCCTCCACTACGGCGTCCGTCAAAATCATATTATGGTTTCGAAACGTAAACCTCCCTGATTATTATTACATGTTTATAGCCCCCTTAAAATGAAAAAAAAGAAGAAACATTTGAATTTTTAAGCAATTTGTGACTTTATTTGGTCGAAGAGCGCAGTAAATGTCGTCAGTCCATCTTATAAGATGCCAGAAATCTAAGTTGAACGCTGACTGCCAAAGCAGTGGAAATATTTTTTTTCCTCGTGCCACGCAAATTTAGAAAATCTCATTTGGACACGCCCGGCTTTCTCGAAAGGCATACGGCACATTCAATATCTGCTGCACACCGACAGGATTAAAGAACCCCAGGTGGTCAAAATTTCCGGAGCCCTCCACTACGGCGTCTCTCATAATCAAATGGTGGTTTTGGGACGTTAAACCCCACAAATCAATCAATCACACCGACAGGAGTACTCTACGGAATCAAATAAAGTCTTAGCGTGAAGCACAGAAAGCTCTCAATATACTGTAGTCAAAGTGGCCTGCTTGGAGTGGGGTAGGAGAGGTCGATTGACTTGTGCGAAGGCATGAGACGAGTTTGCTCATCAACCTTTCATCTCCTTGCATTATTCCCATAGGCCTGCGCAGGGTTACCCTTCATGGGGGATGGAGCGTGGGAGAGGGGGGGCGAAGGTTTGTGGCAGCGCTCTCTCTTAATATGTCAATTACTCGGGTTAACATTGCACTGCCACTCCGCCCCCCTCCCTCCGACCCGCAGCGCGCCCTATCTACTGTCAATAGTAGAGAGCTGACTAACTTTACGCTCCCATACTAGGTGACTAAGGGGAGAACTCCCCTTTCTTCCCTAATAGAGAGCTCTGGGCACGCCTAGGCTGAGTAAACTATTCGGTCAGCTGCACTCTCCTATACTAAGATGGTTTCGACATCACGGAGTACGCAAAAGACAGCAGCGTTCTCTAAAACGGCTGCAGTCATTACTTTAACCCAATGTTAACGTAGCATAACAACACTACCACCGATTTGAACATACGTGCGCCGAACGAGAAACCAAAAAGAAAGAAGCGACGCATCTTGGCCCATCGCGTGAAATCGATATATATATATATAAGTCCTACGGGGGCGATAGTGAACAGCGCAGTGCGAAATAGCTGATTCCGACTGCCCGCTTGAAAGAGAGTTTAATCCGGGCAAAGCGAAGCGCGTAGCAGCCGATTGGTAGAAAAGAAAAGCCGATTACCTAGAGCGTGTATTTAAACTTAAATAATTACACGAGCGCGAAGTTCCACCATCAAGCAGACAGAGTACATGGAACTTTCGCGCCATTGCTAATTCCGTCAAGACCGAGCCATGATTATGCGCCTTTAGGAATTCACTGTGCAATGAGGACTAACAAACTTTTGTGATTGGGAATGATTGTTAGGCACTGGCGAAATTTCACCACCTAAAGTCAATGCACGCTTTCCTCTCCAAATCAGTGCTAATGGATAGTGTTCACACAGTGAAAGCAGTCGCTAAATTATTTAACTTTTCAGACTTGTTTGTGTGAAGCTGCTTGCACCGCTGAGAGTTTGCAAAGGTCATTGTTAAGTGTATTTACAAAACTAGCTAAGTCCTGAACAAAATAAAAAAATAAACTGAAATTGAGGCGAGCCTGATGAAGCGCTTTGCAACTAATACCATAAACACATGCATGCCTTGTAAAATGTTCGAGCATAATTAATAAGAGCTTGCCATGTTTCTTTTGCTGCAGCCTTCTCGTTTAAAGATAATCGCTTTTGTGACACGGCGTTGAAAATCCTGTACACTGCGCTCTGGCCCATACTTAAGGTATGCCTGCCTTTTACGAACGGCTTCAAAAAAGAAAGAAAAGAAGAAGGAAGAAAGGAAAGAACAATCAATTCTGTCAACACTTTTGTCACTCGCAGGAGCAAACTTCCTTGTCAATATATAATTTTCTGTTGTTTCTGCTTTGGGTTCGTAGTCTTTTTTTTTGTTTAGTTTATAAGATAAGTACCCTTCCGTGAATTTTTCAGAGCGTTTCACCACGGCCTGAACCAAATCAGCCGGGGCCGCGGCAATGCAAGATTGCCGCCACCCACGCAGAGATTCCGCATCGGATGCAATTCTTTCACACTTTCTACTTGTCAAGTCCCTAAAATTTTTGCCGAGTGTACTGTTTTGTTTTGTTCTATCTGTTTTTCTGCGGCGAGGTTGAGGTTCATATTACCTGAGCTACTCCTTATCAATAAGTTCTGCAGTGAAAAAAATAATGTACTCATTTAATCTGCACTCATTTTAATCTATGCCAATGTGCAAGCTTTTCACTAATTAAGGCGAAAGCCTTAGACAACTTGTCAAACGCAAAGGCTTGATTGGTGGCGGCGTCCCCACGAGTGATGACTGTGTTACTATGTACATGAATGACTAAATGACGTCACCATGACGTCATTAATTCATTCGAAATAGTCACGACAAAACTTCGGCTGTCATCACCGCGTTACTGTGAGATCAGAACGTGACGTCACATGATGACGTTATCGCATGGCACCGTTGCTTGGTCAATGGTAAGCCGATCACAGAAGCAACGCGCAAACATGCAGATGATCGAAAAAGCTCGTAATACCACCGATCCCGGAGGCTGTGCAAGTACACCTTAGACAGCAGTTTGCTTTCGGAGAGAGAAGAGAGTCAATGCATCAAACGAGAACAAAAAAAAAAGTAGTTGTAAAAGATTGTTTTCGTTGCATTTTATGTAATTTTTCTTTTTCACGCTTATCGTACATGTTTTTCGGCCCTTACCTAAATATAGAGGGCACTTCACCAGACAAAGCTTTACAGACTGTTTCCATTCGTAAACAAGAGAAACCACATCAACAGACGACGTAGTGGTCGTTCCAGACGTCCCCGAAACTGGCACCGTGCCAGCGGTGAGCCGCATCGTACAATGTTGCCTGCCTGCTCGCCAAGCACAAAGATCTTCAGGAGTCAAGATACTGAGTAAACAAGCACTGCTCGGAAAGAACGCTAAAGCTTCGCGGAAAACGCTGAGGCCTGTTACCGCGATCATGGGAAAATACTTGCTCAATATAAATAAATTGC